TGTGTGTGTGTGTGTGTGTGTGTGTGTGTGTGTGTGTGTGTGTGTGTGTATGTGTGTATCTGAATGAAATACAAAATAACCGCCGAAAGTTGTGTTGTTTTTTTTAGCAATCTTCCCAAGCAAAGTGGAAGCAACTGTACACTCTTTGCATTGGTGAGAAGGTTAGGCCTAGTGGTTTGAGTCTTTAACCAGAACCAGAAGTGATGTTGATTTTCTGTGAAATGGGCTTCGAATAATATTATAATGAAAGCAGAGTTTAATTAACTACGCACATTAATTTCTTCGTCGCACTATGATTAAAGACTAGGATATATCATTTATGCACAATCACGGATGTGTCATTTGAGGTTTGATCTTTGTTTTAGTTTTTTTTGTAGGCTGCATAATATTACAGCCGTGTGAATGAACTTGTGGAACAATTATAGCGCAAATTGATGACACAAAGCGCAAAGGTTTGTGGTTGCTGAGTACGTCATCAGAATTTCCCTCGGCAAATGGCGGCTTGTCCTGTCGCCACTCTACCCCTTGTTTGTATCGGCAATATAGTACAGGAAGGAACAGAGGCACCACCACAACACAAGAAGACTCTTTACCGTGAGTGGTGGCTGGTTTGTTTCATGTAGTATCTCTTCGTGTGACTAGCCCAGACATGAACCAACAGAACGTCGGCGCTAACTATTTCTAATAACAGCATAGATCTAGATCTAGATCTAGATCTAGATCTAGATCTAACTATAGACTAGATCTAGAATCTAGATTTATGTTACCAAAAAGTCGGCCTTGTTTCAATGAAAGTGTTTCCGGTATCTAAAGGGCATGCAGGAAGAAGCAATTCTTTAACTTTCTAGTAACAACAAGTCCTAAGTCACAGATGCTATTGCTGTCGTTAACATGAAAGCATAAGGTAAAAAGAAGCTATCCATGTCACAGTATTTTGAAAATTGCCTCAAGTGAGCACAGCCCTTTCAAAGTAGCGAGATTCTTCTTCCTCGCAAGGGCGATACAGTAGCCGCAGGCATGGCTTCACTCAAATTGAATAAAGATGTGGTTGAGTCACCGTCTGTGAATACCATGTCCCCCGTTCCTCGGCGACAAGGGCCAGTCTCTTTCAAAATCCGTTCAAGAGCAGACGAAAGTGTAGAGGACCACTACGAGGAAAGGAAGGGTTTCGTTCCTCCTTCACAAAGGGACGCTGTTAAGAGTCGTCACATTCCGTCTATAGAGAGTCGAGAGAAGTCTCAGACTGGTTGTGGGGATGCAAAGTACATTGACCTGGCGCGGAAACGCAAGACAGATACAGAGCATAATTTCTCCTGGAAACCTTACATAAACACAGGAATCGCAGAGAACGATCGAACTGATATTCAAGCAGTAGAAGCAAGTCAGGAGGGGCCTAGTCTGTTGTCAAATGTTGCACGGCCAGATCGAATTTTGTCAAAAGCGTCGGCAGTATATCCTGCCAACTACTACAATACGAGCGTACCTGGCTACGATTTGTCCCACGAACCAAGTTCCTCTGGCTTTATATCTGATGAAATACACGAAAACTCGGATCCTTCGCTTCAGGGTCATCACGTTCAGACCAATCTCTCATTCAGGAAAACGTCTTCAGATTACCGCAAATTTAAAATGCCAAAGAGTTATGTTACCCATCTGAGGCAAGCTGACAAGAACTTTAAGAAGGGCAGTGTCCTTCCTCAGAAATTTAGAAGCCATCGCAATGTCCAGGAGATAGCTTTTGAACTACAACACAGCACAACCCGGGAGCCTTCAATCGAAGACAGGCAGGAGGATATGGATTGTGAGGGGGAAGAAGAACATTGTACAACTTATAAAAGCTACAAGGTTGGAGACAATTCTCAAAAGAAGGAAAACAGGGAGAAGACAAGTTTCACAGGTGAAGATTTCAGTTCTGGGGAAATCTTTGAAAAAAAGGAATCTCAGGAAATCTGCAAGAGTAAATCTCAACTCTTTGACCGCATGTTTCCTGTGAGAAGCATTCTCGCGCGTATCATACCCGTTCAGCAATGTGCTGCGCAAACGGTAGAGGCTCCAGAAAGTGATCTCATTGGGCAGGCCGCACCAAAAAAGGACGGGGCGTTCATTCCAGAAGACTCAGAATTGAAGGCAGAAGTGAATGACACAAAAAAACAGGAACAGTTTTTCATGTGGAATACTGGGGCAAGAGACAAGGACACGGTGAAAGGTCAAGGGGGAACACACATGAGTCGAGACTCTCTAGCGAGGGCACGTGGAAATAGACACAAATCCGGCGGCCACAGAGCCATACCTTGTTCAAACACCGAAAGGGTGGCTGTCGGTCTCTGTGAAAAGAACCCAGGCGGCTGTTTCGTTCCAGAGGCCAAGAGCACATGTCTGCATACCCCATATAATACCAGGCGTACTTCTTTGATCGGCACTAGACAAGACAAAATGTTTCATTCTAACGTTCCGACTCGCTCACGCGGTGTCTCAGTGGGGTACCCCACCTCCATATGCTCTGGGGGTAGGTTTGGAGAGAAAGCGAGGCAAGGACGACAACGATGGGCGTCTTCTGGCCGCGGAAAAAAGGACCTTGAACTTGCGGGAAATGTACACGGTAAAACCAGAGTAACATCCATACTTCGGCCTGTGGATCAGAGTCTGGGGGAGACACATGTTTCTGGACATTTTTTGGGTGTTCTTGATGCCAATGAAAACTCAAACATACCACAAGAAATACCTTCATACTTGAAGGGCTACTCTGAGGAGGAAGAGGAGGACATCTCTATACAGCTGACGAGTCAGAATCCGAGCTTTAATGAAGGAACCAACTTTCACGGAGCTCTGATGTCCGCAGGAGGTTATCTAGGATTGAACGCTGACTTTCCAGAACCCATGTTGCTATCTCACAGTATACAAGCAGATGAAAAACAGTCTGTGTGTACTCGAAGTTTGGTTGACCTAGGTACAAAGAACATTGTGGCGTCAGATAGAATGACTAGTTTAAGGACAGAGGCTAAAATGAACGGGACTTGTGAAAAAGGAACGGAATCACTCAAAGTACCACATGTTTTATCCTCCACAGGAAGGAAAAATAGATCAGATGATGGAAAAACTCGGGTCAAATCAGAATTTCCCCAAAAGCCTAAGACAATCGTCTCGTTTGTTGAAAATGTCCTCTCTGGAAAAGATCTGTCGTCAAAAGGTAATCCAGCCAGCGTTGACTCCCAAGAGCCGTCGGACGTCAGTCCTAGTAGAATTACATGCAAGCATTCAGCAACACCTAGAAAATCGAAATCGAAATCAGAAAAGCTGCCTATTCAGGTTTCCCAGCGTCCGCGTAAGAGCCCATCTCTTTCCTTAAGCCAACACAAACCCGAACCTAGGAACACAAGCAGCAGTTTACCTTGCGAAACAAATTCCACTGCCAAGAAAACCAAGTCGGAGCTTTCCGGAGACAAGAAATATGATTCTCATCACAATTCTGTTATTCAAAACTCGTCGTTGTCAAATCGGCAGGTTCCCAAATACGAGAGTGGTTTACCTATTGCAAACAAGACAAAGTCTGGACATGAAACAACTTCCATGGATTCAGCCTGTACCAAATTTGAGTCATCCGAGAAGGTTTTGCGAAAAGCTAACAAGGACTCCCAGCTAGCAGTCGACTCCCAGAAGGCCAGAACCCCATCTAAGACAATAAATTCTACCGTCGACGCCAAGCCGTCAGCGTTATACACAGGTGTTCATGGATATGACACTGTTTCTGGAACGATGGTTGACAGGAACATTGTGATTCAAGACCAAGAGAATGACGCATCGTCCGAAGACGACTGTGACCAGCCAGTCAACTGGGATGATCTCAATTCAAGGACCAACCTCGTTCACGGACAACAGCAAGAGCATGACACAGAAAAGATCGCGGTTCCGAGAAGTAATACAAACTCTCAATATCCATATGCGGAGGGTGGTCTTCTCAAACCCGAACAAACTAGAGTAGGCTCGATTCTTGCCCAAACAGTTTCTGAACAGCTCGGCGTCCAGACTCAAATCGCCAGTTTTTCAAACCCACAGTTACTTGTTTTCGAGAAAGGCCAAGCATCTGAGAGCATGCTGGAGAAGAAGGGCCCCATCACAGACAATAGTGAACTAAAGACTTTGATTCTGAACATGCGTCCTGGTACATCTACTCCGTCTGCTTGTTCGGGGGTCCTTGAGGAACGCCACAAAGGTGTCCATGGGAGTAGCATCATCTCTCCCCAAAATAACAGTTTACTCGAGTCGATGAGACACAGAGAGTTTGCTTCTGCCAGCCCTGCCGACCGTACGAGAGAGGCACAGTCAGAGAAACGTCGCGAAATAGGAATTCTCTCTAGACCTGCCACAAGCAAACACGCGGTGAGGAATGAGAATGGCCTTCTTGTCGTTCCTTTCAAAGGTAAGCCCTCTTCACACACTTTAGTGAGTGACCGAGGACAGGGTGGGCAAAACAGTTTTTCGCAAAAACCTCTCAAGACGCAAAATACGTTAACCCAGAAGGCGAAAATAACCCACTCTTCGTTTGCCTCTGTCACGAAAGAAAGCGCGTCTAGGGGAAATTCAAAATGGTCGAGTCCCCATTCAATTCTCAACAGTCGTCGTTATGTAGAAGAGGAGACAGCGACCCTGCAAACGCCAACTTTTGTGGAGAGCAATCTAAAAACACTTGAACAACAGCAGGCTACTGATGTGAAAAGTACCTTAAACAGCAAGCCGTCAGAAACCACGCACGCCGAGAATCCACAAAGCAAAGTTTCCAAGCAAAGTGGAAGCAACACTCTCGGAGTTGGTAAGAAGGTTGGTATTTTTATCGGTGCCGGTATCAAATCCGCAAAGGATTCTATTGCCTCAGCCATCAGCGGAAAAGAAAAGCACAAGAGACTAGTGGAAGAAGACTTTGAGGAGGAGACAATACCAGTCAGAGTGACAACACTGCAGTCATCGCCAGTGTCTGTTGGTGACCAAGAGTTAAGGGACGTGGAACAATTGAACCCTTTCAACACCAGCTATCTTCCAGATGACTGCAGTTTCAACCCTCCTTCCAACTCACAAACACTGCTATTGGAGTCGCATTCAGCTGGTGGAAGCGTAGCAATAGTCGGGGAGCAGGAAAATGAAGACAGTGTTCAAAATAAGAGTTCAAAGATTGGTATCCTGGAAAATGTGACAAAATTCTCACTAGCATTGCCTCCCCACAGACTCACCTCTCGGAAAAGTGAAACGGGCCAACACATTAAGAAAGAGAAGTACGGGCAGGGTATCAATAGATTACATTATCCAGTCCAGAAGAAGAAAGACTTGTCAGTACCGTCTCCGCCAGGAAAACCTTCAATAAACTCAAAGCAATGTATTGTAACGTCTAAAGCCGATGTAGGATCAAAAACCTCCTCAGCTCTGACTCCGTCCACGCCAAAGTCTGAACTGGGAGAATGCATTAAGGATAAAGATAAGTTTCGGATTTCTGATACCAAAGGTGGCCATCATTCTGTTCAGAAGAAAACCGATGTCCCCGGATCTGCCTCTGAAAAGAATACCATGAATAATAAAATAAAAATCCTCAAGTCTGAGAAATCTGTGAGACCCCCTCGAACGCTCAGTATGGAAGACAATGCAGGTCAGAACAAAGCAGCAACAGAAACAGCAGAAGCACTAACGGTAACACCAGCAAGCCAGCCCCAGAAAATGACAAGTCCAGGTGTTGATCTCAAACGCTTCCCGAGTCTATCCAGCAAGCAGTCATCTAACGAAAGGCCGATGACCCCAACCTTACCGTCCGTAATCACAGTCAAAAGTAAAGCATCCATGTCCAAAAGTCAGGAAAGTACTGCGATGAAAGCTGCTTTTGTGAAGAGAGAAACTCGGAAACCCGACACTTTTGAACGGGATGAGCAGAAGATCACAGATCTCAATATAAATACGAGAGAAGACGGAGTTCTTAATCGGGATTCGCGGAACAGCGAAAACCTGGTCAGTAAATCACGAACGGGCGACGAAGAAAATGCAAGTCAACGAAAACCGGATCAAGGCCGTGGTTATATCAATCCTTCTCCTGCTAGTCGGGTTAATACAAATGATCAAAACTCCGAAAAAGCCAAGATCCCGGAAAAACGAGATGAAAAGAAGGACATTGAGGAAGAGGTGGACAGTAACACATTTGTTTCCAATAATTCAAGAGAGGTTTCTTCAAACAATATAGAGAAAACGCAAAGCGGTGGAAAAGCTAGCTTGCTGGGTGCCGAGAATGACAAAAGTGGTGGCATACGTGAGGGGAAAAACTCTGAAAAACGCGAGGAGGGACGTCGTTACAGACCAGCAGGTACGAAGTGGGAAGATGGTACTGAAATAAAGGACGATGAAGAAATTACACACAGTGTTTCTCCGAAGACTCGCGGGCGCATGGGTGGCAAAGCTGACTCAAAGTCGACAAACACGAAATTTAAACGCCCCGAAACAACGAACACTGCTTCAGATTATGCAGACGACTCTGTGGAATATGGTACGAAAAGCAGCATGCAATCAGCGTCCCCTTTCCGGAGTGTATCGCATGCTCTCACGGATGCCCTGGTCTCTCACCTAAGTAGACTTGAGATGAAATACAGAAAAAAACCACAGAATTCCCTGGACAACGGAGACTTGTATTTCATACCTAGTAAAAAGTCACGAGCTTCCAAGGGAAGAATCAACAGTAACAATGACATCTCAACAAAACTTCTCGAAAGATCCGAACCAGCAATGGCTATAGACAATGAGTATGAACAGCCAGTTGCTCAGGATCCGGATGAGGATGAGTTTTACTTCAACCTTAGGACACCCATAGCCAAGGTGGAGAGAGCGCCTGATCAGAGGTCAGCGGACCACATCCGGACCCCTAGGCCACACGAAATGTCCACTTATGAGACATATGAGTACGGATATAGCAAACCACGGAGTCTGGCGAAACATATCAATAGTACAACTAAATACACTACCACTGGGTCTTTCAACAAGAATCCACAGCAAGAGTATCAAGAGGAAAACCCGGAAGAGGAACTAAAGAGAAGAGAACAGGACGAGATTGCATATGGAGACTACAAAATAGCCAAACAAGTCTATGACGAGAGAAACAAAAACAGTGAGAGGCTCTACGAGGTCATAGTCCTCAACACTAAGCAACACAATAAGCCAGGAGGTTCCAACTCTACAACAAAATCAAAAGGGCTCAACACAAAACCTCTCAACAAAGCAGCAGGTTCCAACGCGAAACATGGGTACACGTCTGGAGATCGAAACGTTGTGTCCCAGGACGGTAAAGAAGGTGCTAAGTCCAAGCCAACCACTGTAGCCAGTTTAGTTTCCTCGACATCGAACAAAGACAAGTCCACTGAGCAAGGAAAGGGAGATCAGGAGAAGAAATTTTCAGGGAAAACCCAGAAAGACTCGGACAAGAGCAGAAAGAAATCTCCTTCATTTGTGAAAAAGTCAGGTTCAAGTTCTTCTCGCTCCCCGTCCCCGGGCCCGCGCAAGAACAAGACCGAGTCCCCGAACTCAAAGCCTCGGCGTAAACAAGAGTCAACCGGCAGGATTGCTAGGCACCCGTTCAGGAACTCCCCGCCCAAACCCATGAGATCCCCAAGGCTCACGCCGTCAAAAAGTGAAAGCAAAACTGATAGACGTACTGGAAAAGGAGAAAAGAACAAAAACAAAGAGACGCTAAAAAATAAAGAAGCAGGGAAGGACCAAAGCAAAAGTGCCTCGGCGAAAGTTATTTCAACAAGCGAGAGTCCCCAAGAGCCGAGCTCTCCGCGCAGATGGGGGACGCCCTCGAGGGCTAAGAGCGCCACTGAAGCTCGAACAGGGAGACAAAAAACGCGCAGTGGGGAGGTAGCCAAGAACAAGGAACAGAAAGAAGAGAAATCCTTCTGGGAACGATACGGACTACCGTGGCCTACATCTTCGTGGATTTCCGAGCCTAAGAATGACCCAAAATCAAAGACAGAGGAGCCCAAGACCGAGGAGGGGATCTTCCGGGTACTTCAGAAGCAGCTTGGTCGCCTTGGGCTCTCCAACACGGAGCAAAGCAGCACAGAGAAAGCAACAAAGAAACCAGACTCAAAAAAGGGCTCGAGGTCAAACACTCCAAGAAGGTCGTCCCGCTACAAAGTGAGCAAAAAGCCTGATATAAACAAGAAACCAGAAGTTAATTCAAAGCCAGATGAAAACTCGAAACCTGACAACAACGTTACAACTGACCCGAACAAGAAATCTGACTGCGTGGGAGCAGCTTGGGAGCACACGAAAAGTGAGCCCGTTTCTCCTGAACAGTGTGTAAAGCCTTCGACTCCTTCTGGCCAGCCTGCACAGGCTTCATCGAGAAAGTCTCCTCAAATGAATGAAGTAATGCACTACGCAAAGAGAGGCTGGCCTGTGGTCAAGACATTACAAGGAAAGGAGGTGGTGCAAAAACCCGAGGACACCACATCGCAGACACATGATCTACAGGGGTCTCTAGTGAAGCTCTTAGCTGAGATTGACAACTTAAAGGTGGAAATGGACGCGTCCTTCCGTGACCCTTTCGGCTTCATTTTAGAAGAACAAGACAAAAATGAGATATTGAACGTCAAACCAGAGGTTTTAGTAGCCTTCGATGATGAGGAGAATGATGATGATAGCGATGATAATGATGTGATACTGCAACCCACGCTGCCATCTGAACCAGTTGCCGAGCTATCGGAGGTTTGGTATTCCGGGCCGTCGGCGTATCACCGGGAAGGCAAGAGTTCCAACAGCATGCCCCTGACAGAAGTGGACCTGTATTTCGGACAAGACGAAAAGTGTGAATACGGAGAGAGAATCGTTTATGGTTCAAGTAAAGAGAAGAATGGTGAGATGGCAGAGGGTGGGAACAATGACGAAGAAAGCTATGATGATGAAAACGAAGACAACTCAGTAGGTGCCGACACTTACGCTTGTGGAAACTATTTCAGACGCAACCTGCTACGTGAAGATAAGCGTTTCGGGGATGCGACGGGCATAGAAGGCTCAGCAAGAATAAATCTGCCTCTGTTCCCAACCCCCGAGTATTGCTCAATTGACGTAATATCAAAACGAAACATCAGCCCAGAAGGGAACGAAAGGAATAAAAATGAAAACAGGAGAAGCAGCTGTTCAGTCCCAGACCAGGAATGGGGTAGTGAAAAGGCTAACGTGGTGGAAACAAGGCGTTCTCTGAAACCGAAGACACATGCCAAGTTTGGTACGAGCACCTTCTCTACTGGGCGCACAATGGCATCTTGCGCACGGAAAAATGAAATGTCGGGGAAAATGCAAGAGATTTCCACGCACTCTTCTGCACTCTCAAAAGACGGGACTCTTGATTCCTCCTCCTTGGTAGAAAGTTTCTCGTTCTCTTCACACCCACAGAACTGTTTACATGCCCGGCGAGATTTAAGTAGCTCTTTAGAAAGTGGGCCAACACCAAAACTGATACATTGCGGAGCGTGCTTGCAAGCTGACGTGGTTACATGCCCAACAACTTACGAAGGTGTATCTGTGGTCTGCGATGATACCCCTCCCGCTGGCATCATGAACGAGGACTCGCACAAGTACGAAGAATTTGTTCTGGGGGGCTATATCTCATCTCGTCACATGAAACCCTCTTCTCTCCTGGCAGCTTCATATAAATACGTCTCGCGCACAGAAGACGATGTTGCCATGATATCTTATCCGAAGCTCATGAAAATGAACTACACCTGCCACTCTAAGTCGTTCCAATACGACCCGACCGTAGCAGATTCGAATACGTGTGAAAGGAAAGCACAAAGGACAATACGAACGGAGACACTTGGTATAAAATCAGACCAAGTCCAGCATGGGTCTGGCAAGGAAAGAAAGAAATCTCCTGTGAAAAGACGAGACAAGTCTCCGAAGTCCCCGAGCCGAAACAATTCCAGAAAATGTTCAAAGGGTTCCAAGTCTGCTAATGAACCGGTGTTAGCGTCAGACTTCAAGAATACCACGAGCATGCTGAACGAAGAGAGGAAGTTCGTGGAAGAAGCCATCGAGCGCTACACCCAGGCCAGGATATTCGCGTCCTTCGAGAACTTCATGCAGGAGAAGCGGCCCTGCTACGTGGAGAACTGTGGTTTCCGACAGCAGCAGCAGCCCGGACACGGGGACGTGACTTCGCTGGCCTCTAGCATTTCGCCTGCCGCGGGGAAGGAGCTGAAGATGCATAGAGATCAGGGCTCGGGGGATAGCGATGGTCTCGACCTGGCCTCAAAATCTGTTTCTTTGAGAAAATCAAGGTGGGACAGTCTAAGTAAAGAGTGTGGGAAAACTGTGCGTCAGGCTGGCCTTGGTAGATCTACCAACGGCGAAGGCCAGGTAGAAGACTGGAGCTCCGTCAAGGTAGCCGACGCCTGTGATGAAAAATACGACAGAGAGAACACCAAGAGTGAGGATGGGGACAGTGACGTTTGCAACGTCAGCAGCAGCACCAGCGCCTCCAGCACCAGCAGCGGTAGCAGCATCAGCAGCAGTGGAACCTACGGCAGCTACAACACGAGGATCGGTGGTTACGGTAGCAACAGCAATAGTAGCATCAACAGCAGCAACAGCAGCACCAGCGTTGCAAGCAGCAGCGAAAGCAGCGTTTGCAGCAGCGAGGAACGAGACACGAATACCGCGTACACGCTTGAGAACGACGTAACCGCCAGCTGCGTGCCGGTGTCGGTGAGTGGAGAGGGTTCTTCGAGTACTCCACAACTGCACAGCCCAGGCGTAGGTGTTGTGAAAGAAGTGTGTAGATCCTCGTCCGACCAGATCTGCAAGAAAGGGGTGGCCGAGGATGTCAGCGGCGACGAGGAGGAAGAAGAAGAAGAAGAAGAAGAAGAAGAAGAAGAAGAGGATGGGGACTTTTACGAAGATCAAGAGGACGATGATGAGGATTGCGATGATGACGACGAGGAAGATTGTGATGAAGATGGAGAAGACGATGCAGATATCTTGGAAATGACGGAATGCTGAAAAGATTTCTATTCTGAAATGTTACACGATAAACAACAACAACAACACACATACCACCTGTACGGAGGGGAGACGGGTTAGCTAAGAATGCGTCCATCGTGAAACAAGGAACCTCAAGCTGCAAGTCTCAACGGTCAACGTCCATCTGTGGAACTAAGACAAAAACCTAAAAACCCACTCACTAAAGTAATAAACATCGTCCCAACATCAGATTAAAACATGACGGGTTCATGGCAACCCCCGGCGGTTGTCTAACAGCACAATGCCATTCTGTCCTTTACTTGTCCTTTTTGGGGGGGGCATTCCCATAGGGTTCGTTGTTGTTGTTGCTGTTGTTGTTGTTGTTGTTGTTGTTGTTGTTTCTGTTGTTGTTGGCGTTGTTGCTGCTGCTGTTGCTGTTGCTGTTGCTGCTGACTGTTGGCTGCTTTTCTTCTTCTTCTCCTTCTTCTTCTTCTTCTTCTTCTTCTTCTTCTTCTTCTTCTTCTTCTTCTTCT